GTTTTTAGGTTAAAATAACATTAAAAATGAATCCGGAACGTCGAAAAATCTTAGGGTAGTCATATGGATCAAATTAGAGATTTTTAGTGGCAAAATCGTAAATTTGGAGAAACCCAAAACAGCCTGTGAACAGTATTTTTCGGGGCTGCTATGTTTTAAACTCATTTTCATCTCATTTGCTCTCATTTCCTTCGCTCTCCTCACACCCCCACACCTCTTGAAACCCTAGAGGGCATTAGAGAAGAAGAAAGGAAGGGAAAAACAAGAGATTCAAGGGTGATTCAAGATCAAATATTCTTGTTCTTCACTCCAAAGCTAAGGATTTAAGGTAGGGGTTTTCTCTCATTCACTTACATTGAGGCTAGGGTATTTATATATGTATGTTTTGGCTATCAATGATATATATATGCTATGGAATCATCTTCTCTTAGACTTTTTGCAAGGATTATATGTTTTGAACAAAGTAGGGTTTAATACTTATGAAATCTCCTTTCTAGTTTTAAAACTATAATTTTTGGAGAGTGATGTATTTTCTTCCTAAATGCTTTATTTATTATGGATTTCGAAAGCTTAGTGCTTTATGTTGGGTAGAAAAATGATGTTATTGTGATCTCATGTATTTTCTTAGTTAGTTGTGGAATTGTTATATGATATATTTTGGGAATTTTAGATAGATGTTTGTAAATTGAGATAAATATTGAAATTGTATGCTTGGTTGGGTTGTTTATGGTGCACATGAGTGAAATGTTCCTTATAAGGATGTTCACCCCCCTTCCCAAGAGGTTCTCAATNGAATTGTATGCTTGGTTGGATTGTTTGTGATGCCCATGAGTGAGAGGTTCCTTGTAAGGATGCTCACCCCTTAGCAATAGATTCCCGGTAAGGATGCTTGGGAAACAATGTAGTGATTGGTGAGAGGTTCCATGTAAGGATGCTCATCCATTTTCAAGAGATTCCCGGTAAGGATGCTTGAGAATCAAAGGTGACCTAAAAGGGGGTAGAGGTTACCACAAAATATGTCACCTACTGAAAGAATTGTTGAAAATTGGTTATGACAATTAATGGTTATTATTTGTATGTGATGCTCATTTATTCATTTAAGTAATGTTTTTAAATAAACTTGAGATCCTTTTTAAATGTCACTGTTTTATTTCAAATTATGTATCTATGTTATGTTAAAATTGAAACCGACCGTTTTAAATGCTTTTCTAAACCTTGCATGAGTTTGAGAGAATGTTTCTACAAAGCTTCGTGCTCACCCCCTATCGCTAACATTTTTCAGATTACCCGCTTGAGGAGGAAGACGTAAGGGTCGAGGAGCCCGCTACTTAGGAGACTCCACGGGACGGGAGTATGGATCCCGAGGTGGACGCATAGAGCGACCTCTTTTCTTTTTGTACTAGACTAGGACATTCTTTTGGAATATTGTGTAGTCTAGCTTCTTTTGTTTATTCCGCTGCGCTTCTTTAATTAATTTTTGAGATGTAATAGCCATGACTTGGGCTTATTCTTTTGGATAATGTTGTAAATATTCGTGGATGACAAATGAAGTCTTGTTTCTTAAGGGATTATATTAGTGCTCTCATGATATGAATG